TAAGTCGCTATTGGCCACAGATACTTGACTTTTCAAGAAGGAGAAATATTTAATAACGCCAGCAAAGAAAATGGGTCGAATTACTTTTGATGATGGTATTTCGCATTGATTACATCTTGTTTAATTCACAAACAAATAATCTGTAATCATATACAGGGCGAGCACCTCTAAATTTTGTTTTACAAGTTTTATTAACATTAAAGAGCACTTTTATTACAATTTACAATTATTATTAGCGTCATACTTGGCGCGGGCCTTAGCCTTAATGAAGCCCCTGAGCAATTTTTAGATAGTACCCTTTGTAAAGCCAATGTTGTCGAGGATTGAAAAAGAAATGTCAATTTATTTTGCCGAGTAACCGACAGCGATGGGTGATTCTATCAGAGAAAAAAGAAAAAACCAACACCATCAATAATAATTTAAAAAGTATAACAATAAATCTACTTAATGAAAATTGGCAGAAGAACACAAAAATTATTTTACTGATGCGTGTCGCTTGGTGCCCCACAGTGCGTGCTCGTCGCCCCGGGCGCCGCCCGATCTACTCTGCACTGACCATAGTCAATATTTTATAATGTATAATTATATCATAATACTATGTGTATAATAATCCTTGCTTTCTGTAATTTGCTAATATCTGTAAGCCTAATGAACACTAATTTAAATGACTTTAAAATAATTAAAATAAAGATAAGATTCAAAAAGTTGAAGCTCGAATAAAAACAGCCGTTAAAGAATAATTAAATAACGCCTTTATTAGTTATCGAGTTTCCTGGTTTCCCAATTGTTTCCATACACAAACCCGGAAAACTGATAGCGACAGAAGCCTAATTGAATTTCGCTGATTGCTTGTGTTCCTTCTTTATATTTCGAGGTGGTATAAATGAATTTCACGACGGGTCAAAATTTGACAAGAGAATAATCTACATACAAATACGAATGTATAGTAAAAGTATAGGTAAAGATCTAGATGATGGCCCCATCCCCTGGGGTGGGGGGATCGAAAGAGGAGGTCTCCCCCACTGTACCATAAAAACTTCGTGGCGGTCTCACCCCCTTAAAAAGTTATAGGGGTTCAAAGTTAATAAATATGCCATTTTTTATACATTTCTAAACAATATTCAAAGGTAAAACTAATGAAAAAATACATAAAAATGTTGAGAAAGTTATATAAAACATTATTTAAATATCTTTATCAATAGGGTAGGTTAGGTTATTGGGTTTTGTTCAAGTGACCACCCTCTTTCGATCCCCCATCTCCACCCGCTTGTCAAAATAATCAACTTTCAACCCCTATAACTTTTTATGGGGGTGAGACCGCCACGAACTTTTTATGGTACAGTGGTGGGGGAGACCTCCTCTTTCGATCCCACCCACCATCATCTAGACATTTACCAAAGTATATTGTCTTGAAAGGGTAGATTGGATTTTTATTCGACGTTAGGATGACAATCATGATAAAATAAAGGTTGTTAGGATTGTGACGTTTTCGAGAAGCCAGTTTGTAAAGAAATAAAATAAAATTAAAAATGTTGAAGTTCTCGGTTAATATAAAATTTTGTTTCATTTGAACACCTTGTACATTTTCAGAAAGAGCAAGCATATACATACATGTTTATTATTCGTTTTAAGTAATACTTTGCAGAGATTACAAATATGCTTAATAGATTCACAAATTATATAAGTTTGTCTGGTATATTAGGTCGCTTTTATTGACAATTATTAATTGTAGTACGTACGCACATACCAGTGACAGATGTTTGTTTGGAAACACATCAAGTTTATTTCAATTAAGAAATAGAGAGAATCTTGTACGAACTTTTATCAATTCTTATTAATAACTGATCGTGGCATGGTGAAGAATAGTTGTTTCTACCTTTTACCTTTAATTTTATATCAACTGGGAGCCTTTTTGTTTATTAAAAAAATCCTTTTGCATTTATTTGATGAGCGACATTTTAATAAATTGAGTTTAGGTACGCAATCGAATAAAACATTTGAACGTGTTCAAATATAGCAATCTCTGATGTTGTTCTTTTAAAATATGATGGCCTTTCCCGATTATGCGATTATTATTTATTATTTAATGAGAAAAGTGATGTATTGCATGCTTATTATCTTAATCAGTTTTGTATTTTGAATCTCTGCCAATCTGTGTTTGCATTGTAATGTGAACATTAACTTAATCCTTTTGCGGAACAAAGACTGACCGAGACCTTTACGTGTACCACCAACAGTAACGCCAAATGATAATTGTCATGAACACATACATACATAACATATATATATATAACGAGTTCATATGGTCGAGATACGGATGTCAGATAGATAATCATTAATTTTTATTGCTAGTCATTCGATTTGTTTAATTAATGGCCACATTGAAATTCAGGTTAAAAAATTATTAATGTGCGGTTGATATTTTTTTTGAAGTTATTTAGATAGACTATGCATTATAGTGTAAAGGGATTTTCACGTTATTATCCTTTGCATTTCCAGGATGGAATCCGACACAAAAACCGATTTTAGAAATTACAAGCTAATTTACGCCTAATTATTTATTTTTGAACGATAATACAATATATTCATTCCTTTTTAACTTTCTAACAGCTGTAAGAAACATTACTTTGATAATATTGTACCACGAAACTTTGTAGAAGGTAGCATTACTTATAACATAAAAGTGTATGCTAAGAAAGACTAAGAAAAACTGCATCTAAATGTTACAAGGATGACAGCCTAATAAATCGATGTTTCTTATGGGAAATTAAAATGAGAATTGTCTTAAATAAATAAAAGAGATCAAATTTAATTAAAGAGGTAATGGCAATAGTAAAATGTTCTGTGACAAGGAAAATCAGAAATATTATTAGCAATAACAGTAAGGTGAGTTAGAGATACCTTTAAATATAATGGAAATAGGAAAACTTGTACCAAAAGTTCATTCCTACTTTTACTTACAGGCGTTTCTGTGTCAGAAGTAATAGGCAGATAAAGCTTATTGAAAATAAATAATAGCAACCTTATAATAATAATAGATAAAATAATAGAGTAACTTTCTGTACAAATACCACAAAGTAATTTTCAATTTAATCAAGAAAAATATAAAACTGAGGAAGGCCTAGTTATGGGTAATCCTCTAAACCTAAGACTATCAGAAACGTGTACGTACAATATGCATACAAAATACTATTAAAAAATTTTGGCTATTCAGACGTTGTCTGTATATAATTACAGCCACGTAAATGATATATTACTGGATCGACTAGACAATTAGATCAATTAAGTTTACAATAGAAGTGGAAAACTACAACTTTCATTGAAAATAAAGGGATATTTAAATAAAAATATCATATCAACAAATATCAACAGCTTTTAAAATAAATAATACATTGAGCAAACATATTAAAAATAAGAAAAATAAATTACCAAAAAATAACAAATTAGCAGCATTTAATTTAAAATGTTTTTCATTGGACAGACAGGAAGATCATTTGGGTAACATATTAAAGAGCAACTGAACTCTTTTAAAAATATCAAAAATGACTCGAACAATGTAATACAATTAATTTTAAGAAAAAAAAGTTAAATACCAAATTTGAAGTACTGCATAAACAGAAAATAAAAATTAGAATTTAAATATTGTCGTAATTTATCTATCATTTATTTATTTGCGAATGAATAAATTTTGTACTACTAACAATAAATTTTTTTCATCATTTGTGCTGAACTTATTAGAATGTCTCTCTTGTTTTAAATTTCAATAAACCTATATGTGAAGAAAATATTTTATTTCTAGTTCTTGAATGCTTAAAAAACAATGTTTAAACTCGTTTAATTAGTTAATAAATGTAAATAATATCACTTAGTTTAATTGTTTTTTCGGTAGATTATAAAGATATATTTCAAAGTGCCCCAAGCGTTTCAATTTTGAAATCTTAAATTTAAATAAATTGTTATTTATTATTAAAAGAAGGAATCAAAGCATTATGTATATGGTGCATATAAATTGTGTCTACTTTAAAACAACAACAGCAGTTAAGTTAAATTTAATCCTAGATTTGATCCTGTTATCTACAGGCTACGTATGGAAGAATAGGTTGATAAATAACATTTTACATTTAAACAAACAGGCTATCGTAAAAATCCATGAATAATACTTATTTTAGATGACCGACATTTATATAACTTCATGAGAAATTAATAAATTCTAATGACTAATAACTTCTTCTAGGATTTTGTATGCATACAGATACATTCTATGGTATCTATTTAATTAACATAATATAGGGGGGTTACAGACCGGAAATTATAAGAGAATTCGAAAATTAAGTTACACACTGATGAGGTCCTACGAGCGGTAAGATAAGATACCAAATGTTAAAGAGTCAGCAATACACCTGAATACCAATTCATTTACGAAGTGCTATCAAAATTTCTAACATTCCTATCTAATATTGTTATTACTATACATCTTTTTTAGTCTTCAACTCGTCCTGTAATGACGTTATAAATCGTCCATGTATAAAGATAATCAAGTCACATCTGCATTTTATAGGGTTACTAATAAATACTTTTAAAATAGGTAGTACAATTTCCTTAAATGCTGCAATTAATTGCTTAAGTCAATGCTATCTAAACAATAATGATAAATTATCAAGTAATATCGTGAATTGCTTCCGCAAACTTCCTTCCGCAATCTCATTAAAACAGTTTTTCCTTACATGTTTTTCTTTGACATGACTTCTTTTGATGATATACACATCAATTCATTATCATAAGAAATGAGTTTGGTCAACTGGTCAGGAGCCGCTTTTAGTTACGCGGTTATCGCAATGTAAAATTCCTTGGACACGCAGGTCGATCGTATTGCTTGATTACGAAAGAGCATCGATCTTTATTAGGATGTCAATTTGGTGTGGGTAATCGGTATAGGTAGGTAGGTATACATACATAGGTATCTAGTCAGATGTCTATCAAATAAAAATAATTATCTTAAGTTGTGACGACCTGAACGTACGGGTTCTTCGGCTGACCAAGTACTAGCGGCTTACTTTTACTACCATTTCTCTTAAACTTTCGTTTCACTTGATACCTCGCGTTCAGAGAATTATTTCGCGATCGTAGTAGCCGTGTCAAATACGCTTTTGTTACAATGATATCGAAGAATTTGTCGACCATTTTTGAAATAATCTTGTGATTTTTGACCGAAATGAGTTTTGGTGTCGCGACTAAAACTATAAAGCTTTTGTACAGGGAATTACGTAAAGGGTGCTCTTCTTAAGCTTATTCACTCCTTTACCTGTTCCATATTCGAGAGATTATAGTGAAATTTACTGGATCGTTTGGATTTTCTTTTCTTTTTTTTGGAAACAAACAAATCACTAACGAAGGTAAGTGGTTTTAGTGTTTCAATATCAAAATTGAACAAACTTCTAATAAATTTAATGCTAAAAATGTAATGTTGTATTTATATTTAGTTTAGTGCAATAAAAATAAGGAGGTAACTTTGAATGTTTAATAATCCTTTATTTAGACAGGCGAAAGAATATGCAAATGTCAATTTCCGTTCTTTTGTGTTAGAGATTGCTCTAAAAATCAGTATACTTTTCAGTACAAATAGATATTTATAAACGCTTTTTCAAAAAAGTATTTAAACACAAGCATAAATACTTTACAATTTTCAAATATTTCGGTATTTAAAGGTAAAATCCAAATAATTTCATTTTGAATACTTAATAAGTATGATGCTAATAAGTTTAACCAATAAAAGTATACGGATTGTTCTGGCATTTGACCATTGTTTTTAACTATACTATATTTTAAAAATCCATACACCTAAACATAATACAGACACATTTATTTTAAGTCCCTGTCGTTATTTTGAAATTGTGCTATAGCTAATTAAGAATGAGTCCAACATTACTGAAGTGGGTACCAATTCTTTGGCTATAATTTTTTTAATTATAGTAAATGAATCTGTCAATTAGAGTCAACAGGATAATTATTAGTCCTGCAATTTTCCAATTTCAAACCAACCGATTTCGTTAATACATTGCGTGTTCGGGACATACATTTATGTTTCACCCTACACATATAATTGGTGTTTGCAAGGACCAAAATTATTTTTAGTCCCTTTTACAAATGTCACTTCCTTTTATTGCCTTTTTGCTTTGACGTCAGAGGGTATGAAATGGATGAATTATTTAAATCATTAGCTAAAAAAACACTTATTTTTTATTTAAATTAGCAAAAACCACCATTAATTGGAAAAAGTAAAAAAAAAACATTTATATACAACATCAATTAGCTGAAATAATTTAAATGCACAACAGATCAGTTCAAGTAATCAAATAGTTAATTATAACTATTAGCAACCCATTGTAATGGTGTTATCTAAATAATGATTTTAAGCATGTCTTACAAAAAGCAAAACACACACTTATTAATATTTAATTTGCTCGGAAAATAGGTAGTTTCAGTGATTTTGCAAAAAACACATAAAACTACTAAGCTTTAATTGGAATCATTGATTATGTAGGTATTTATTCGGGTAGGTTTCCACTAACATAAGAAGATTAGTTTCTTTTTGTACATTTGACTTTCTACTGTTTATATAATACAGAAGCCGATTATAGTGACCCTAGTGCAATAACAATGTATAGCTAGTTTATTTTTAGGAGCATGTATTTTAGCTTTTAACCTACATCAATGTTTACGCGTCCATAGTTAAAATAAATGTTTTACTAATAAAAGGAGAACTTCGTCAAAAAGAGAATTTGTTTAATATGAGAGATTTGAATAAAATCTTTTTTTCAATACCTGCAGTGAAATCCTTTCATCCACTTCCACTTTGTTTTGATTTGTTGAATGACTTCTGAAATAGGACCGTTGTTAAACAGATCCCATGTAAATATAATATAAATCTACTTACTTATGTAGAATTTATTTAAATCTAAACCATTAATAATTTAAAAGCTTAGAATGCACCAACATCTTAGTTATTGTAAAGTAATCTAACTAATATTGTAAATACGAATGTGTTTGTTTGTTTGTTACCAGTTCACGCCTTAATTACTCAACCGATGATCATGAAATTTTGTAAACACATTGTAAGAGGCTCAGAAAAAGGACATAAGGGTACCTTTTATACAGAACAAAAAATACTGTTCCCGAGGGAGAGAGAAATTAGTTTTATGTGGTTGTCGATGATCTTTAACACCTATTTAGGAAACATATGTAACTTTCGAAAGCACAGTAAAAGATTCAACTCAAGTACTTAATATCTACTTAACAAAATTTATAATTCTGTTTGGTATTTAGGGTTGGTATTCCACATCAATTTCTCTTAGTCTAGCTATTATTACACTAGCTGTTCTTTTTAAATTACTCCAATATAAATTATGAAAGAAAATATGATATTGCATAAAAGTAAGAGTAAGTGCCTGATCTGTTGACCATGGAAAAGCATTTCTTTGATGCCACGTTGTAACAGTGAGATTTCATAATCGCGTTACTTAATAAAAAGATGGATTGAATACATACCAAATCGAGAGACTCGAGAATTTCACGGGTCCAATAAGGAAATAATTACAGCTTAGCAAGTAACAACAATATTGCACTGACACAATGCTGTAAGCATTACACTCGTATTAAAAGACATACGTACATGTATGTCGTTAAAAAAAGACTATATCTGCCTGGATCTGACACTTTCATTAGCATCATTTTCTATGATTACTATTTATTAAATTTTTTGTGACAGAGGGCTTACATATGTTGTTGTTGTTGTTGTTTAAAATTTAAAGAACTTTGAAGGAGCCTATTATACTGGTACTTACAATGGCAAGATTAGCAGTATTCAAAACTTAACTTACTTCCTTTATTTTTGAAATATTGTATTTATAAAGGATAAGCGAAATTCTTTTCCTGTCCGCTAGTCCAAATGTCAAAATAATTTTTATTGAAAATAATTAAAATTAATAATTCCAAACCTGTCGCAGTAATAAAGTTTTAGAAGCCATATTTGCAGATACTGAGAAATTATTTCTAAAATTATTTAAAAGAAGTAGAATTAAATATAAGGCAAGCAGACACCTTCATAAGACCTTTGTTTGTAGAATAATTAGTAAATATGACAAAAATTTTTAATGAAAGGGGGAACCTAAAAAACATAGCTTTGATTAGGTAAAATTTTTCATGGTCCCTATAACGTATCGTACTTTTTGGTCCCTGTAATGTATCGTCTTTATTTTTGATTATATAAAATGATAAGTATTGACATAAACCTTCATTCAACTTATAATCAGGTGGTGTATGCCTATTTGAGGGACCCTAATGATGCCTTTACTTCATTCCCAAAACATTACTGTATGTATTTTTAGTTACAACGAATAAATAGTTGATTAATTCGTATATTGATTTATGTTTTCTAATGTAAGTGCTATAATTTTCGTCAAAAGGTTAATAATTTGTTAAAGCTCTTACACCCACATTGACTTACGCAAGTATCTAATATTCAGTATTTGTTTCGTATAGTTGACAGTAGATCACACGGAATGATACAAAATTGTTGTTTTATTATACGTTAAATAGTCCGTATCTCAGGGAATTATTTCAAAAGTACTCGGACTGTTATGTGAAACGGATGAACACCCAAACAGGTATGAACACTGAACATACTATCCTTTCCTTATTGTTTTAAAAACATTTTTAATCCAGATGGAAATTAAGAAAGCTTTTCCTATCATTATAGGTACTCTTCTATTAATTTTATAGCAACAATTTAATTAAATTGTTAATGAACACGGACTTTGTTTGTGTTAAGTTAGGCTTCACAAATGGTTTATATTTTTGGTTTACAGTATATTTAACTTCATGATGGTCTTCAATAATTAGTTTTTATTTAAAATGAGAGATTAACCAAACTAATAACACTTGTTTAATGACAATAATTAAATTTAATTGATTGTATTTCTTGCACTTTTTATTTAGGTATGCCGAATATTGTTTATTATTATATTTATTAATTCCAGTCCCTTGCAGTAGGTATTAGGTATATTTTGAGTAATAATAATAATAAAGTAATAATAACGAAGTGATACTTGCAGTAATTATTTTAATTTAAAGTGTAAAGTGAAAGTTAGGAACTGTGAATGATGCAACTTTGATAGGTATATGAAAAATTATCATCAATTAAATCAAAATTAGGACAAACAAAATTTAAAAAAATTAGTAGACATTTTTTTATTGTCGAAGTGATTACCAAAGTTTTAGGCAGTCTGAAATATTTTTTGATTGAAAATTATGATAATTTGATTAGAATTAAACCACTAAATAAATATTCAGTTTAATTGTAACATGAATGCAAGAGGATAATGATTGCAATGATAAAATTTTGTAATTTTTCTAAACTTGTATATTGTATTTACGTATATAAATTTACCATTGATTCCTTTTTTGTGGTAAAGGTATTTCAGTCCAATACCAACAAACATTTGGGTCAATACTGACTAGAAAGGAATAAGTAAAACATTTTGCAAATATTATTATTAGTTGTTGTATTGTTTATTTGACAAAAGTGCTATTTATAATAAATTTTTAGTGCATGAGATTGCTTGATTTGGGGATCTTTTCAAAGCAGTTCCTTCCTGTTCATTCTTAAAGCATTTTATTCCGCAATTCTTAACAACTTTCTACGCCATAGGTGAAACCCACAATCCATTGGAATTTACTGAATCGACTAACAATATAGCGCTAAATTAATTCAACATAATACGGACTTCTATGCTTAACTTATAATCGTTATAACAGATTCCTTCATGCACATTCTAATAACTGTTTTAAGTTTGTATACGGAATAATTTTACAACTTTGTATAATCGTATTGTTTACGATTTCCGCTGACATTAAAAGAAAATGAAATTGAAAGTGAAAACAGGGTTTCCCTACTATACATATGTTCTATGCGTGTCTATGGTTATGTGTATACGTATAGATTTGTAATGATTTTAAGATTTGAATTTCTGGAATTAGCAGACTATTGAAACGCCTAACTAAAGGATGAAACTATAACTCAAGCCTTCCTGCGATATCCAGGATGTTGTTTATAGAAATTTGTAATAAAAAATCTTTTGATCTGTTTAAATGTCGATATTTGGTTTTAGGTTTATAAAATAGTGACTCCTTTTTAAGTGTTAGATTAATACTATAAAACTTTACTAAATTCTTGTTTGATCACAATATTGCTCCAATTTACTTTTGTTCGTGTTTTATGGTATTTAATACCTTCCAACTAGATTTTTACACTAAATATAAAAAAAGAATCTTTACCACCACTATTTGAAAAAAGGGATTTGTAAGACTGTCCTCGGATTAAGTGTTCTTTATACCT